TAGTGGTGACGCGAGGTCCTGAAGACAGCGACACCAACCAGGTTCCTCGAGAACGAGGGAACGTGGAGGCCTCTAAGAGAGCCCAAGGGAACTGCTGGACAGGGAAGGGACGTGGAACTGCGAGCGACGACGGGACCCGCAGAGGGGTCAGCGAGAGAGACAACAGCAGGTGCAGCAAGCGGCGTAAGCGTGGAGCCGGTCGCGGAAGAAACAGGCAGAAGCACCGGAGTCGAGAGTGAAGGACAGCGAGAGCAGTGGCGGAGGCTGGGAACGGAGCCAGTGCAGAACCTAGGCTAGGCAAACTAGGCAGTCCTATGCCTGACACAGCATGGGAGGCTAAGCTACACAAGGTGAGAAACCTAAACTAGAGTACACAGGGTAATAAGATCTAGCAACACTAGTATCGTCAGCATACAAAGCATGCAAAGCAGCACCTATCTGATCCATATCTTACTCAAAGATCGGCACGCCCTGGCGAAGCAGGCTGTGCCAGTCGGGGAGGTCCGGGGCCGGGCTAAAGCGGTGACGAAAGAGATCGTCGAGGCGGCGGAAACAGCGGGCGGTCGGGTGCGGGCGGCGGCACAGAGTGCCGCGGAGAGGCCCGGTCTGAAGCTGGTACTGGCAGGTTACAGCACTGGAGTTGCCGGTAGACGCCAAGCTGCGCGGGCCACCACCGCCGGAGGTGCCGGGCCAACCAGGTGGGAGACGAGCCCACGGCTGCGACGGCTGCTACTGGGACGGCAGCAGCTGCTGCTGGGGCTGCTCCGGCTGCGAAGGTGACTGCGTCTGCTCCTGCCCACCGGTGGTAGTCCCTCAGGTGGACTACCGTCACCACCACCACTACACCACCACTACGACCTCCCCGGCGGCCATGGCCACCGCGGCACGGACGCTGCTGCGGGTGGACCGCAGCTGCCGTCTCGGTAATGGGGGTCGCAGTGGCGACCGCAGCCGAAACGTCAGTAAACATGCACTGGGAGGGGGCACAGCGTGAAAGATAGAGACTGCCGGCGCACCGCTCGACTGAGCAATAGTGCGCTGGCGCGTCTCGATCTTAGTGAGGGTGTCGACAAAGGCGGTTAGTGTGAGGTCACCCAGGTGCTGGCTAAGGAAGCGGTCGCGGGTACTAGCTAGGCGGTCCGGCAGGCGCATGGCGATAAAATAGAGGGTCATGCAGAATGGGGGGGGGAGCGCAGTGAGCTGGGCAGCAGTGCTGGCAGTGCAATAGCGAGTCTCTAGGGCACGCAAGTGAGTGGCAAAGTCTGCGACAGTAGGGAAGGCAGCAAGGTCTGGGAACAACATCGGGAAGAGCAGGCGGCCGGCAGAAGCGGATGTTGGTGTGGAATAGCGAGCAAAACAGCGTCTAAATAAGCTTTGGCCGTATCAACTGTAGCGAAACGCGAGCGCTCAGACACAGGGAGGGCGTGTTTGATAGCAACCTGAGCTACTCCATCGCATGAGTCCCAGACCGCACAGGCAAGCGCAGCAGTAGAGAAGGCCTCACTCTCAGCGGAGGTGGGGTCAGCAGGGAGGGGAGCAGGTGCAGGGGGGTGGGGGAGCAAGCCATCAGCATGGACAACCAGCGAGTGTCCATCCTGGCGCTGACCTGTAAGCTGACGGCGGAGATCGGAGAGCCAGGCGACGAAGTCAACCGCGTGGCCTCAGCGTCCAGGCGGAGCACGAAGTCAGCCATCGTGCAGGGTCAGTCACACAACTCCTTAGCGACACAGGAGCACAGCTCCACAGCTCGGCAGGAGCACAGCGGCACGGGGATACGGCGGCAGCACTCTCCAGTAGGGCGGCTACGGGGCGCCCCGGCGCGGGCTAGTAGAGGACACGGGGCCCGAGGTGGCACGGCAGGCTGAGCAGGCACGAGGAGGGGCCGGGCTGGCGCTAGGAGGGGCCCGGCGGGCGCACTGGGACTGGCGGCGGTAGGAGAGGCCGGGCGGCGCTAGGAAGAGGCCGGGCAGGTGCTGCTGGGGCCGGCTAGGAGCGGGCTCGACGGTCAGTGGGCCGGCCAGGAGCGGGCACGACGGCCAGTGGGGCCAGCTAGGGGCGGGGGCGAACGGCCAGAGGGCCGGCTAGGAGTGGGCGCGAACAGCCAGGGGCCAGCTGAGGGCGGACGCGACGGCCAGGGGGCCAGCTAGGAGCGGGCGCGACGGCCAGTGGGGCCAGCTAGGGGCGGGCGCGACGGCCAGCGGGCCAGCTAGGAGCGGGCACGAACGGCCAGGGGGCCAGCTGAGGGCGGACGCGATGGCCAGGGGGCCAGCTAGGGGCGGACGCGAGGGCCAGGGTGCCGACTAGGGGCAGACGCGACGGCCAGGGGGCCAGCTAAGGGCGGACGCGATGGCCAGGGGGTTGACTAGGGGCGGACGCGACGGTCAAGGGGCCGACTAGGGGCGAACGCGACGGCCAGGGGGCCGGCTAGGGGCGAACGCGACGGCTAGGGGGCCGGCTAGGGGCGGACGCGACGGCCAGGGGGCCGACTAGGGGTGGACGCGACGGTCAAGGGGCCGACTAGGGGCGAACGCGATGGCCAGGGGGCTGGCTAGGGGCGGACGCGACGGCCAGGGGGCCGACTAGGGGCGGACGCGACGGCCAGGGGGCCAGCTAGGGGCGAACGCGACGGCCAGGGGGCCGGCTAGGGGCGGACGCGACAGCCAGGGGGCCAGCTAGGGGCGAACGCGACGGCCAGGGGGCCGACTAGGGGCGGACGCGACGGCCAGGGGGCCAGCTAGGGGCGAACGGGATGGCTAGGGGGTCGGCTAGGGGCGGACGCGACGGCCAGGGGGCCGACTAGGGGCGGACGCGACGGCCAGGGTACCGACTAGGGGTGGACGCGACGGGGGGGGGGGGCCAGCTGAGGGCGGACGCGACGGCCAGGGGGTTGACTAGGGGCGGACGCGACGGTCAAGGGGCCGACTAGGGGCGGACGCGACGGCCAGGGGGCCACCTAGGGGCGAACGCAACGGCCAGGGGGGCGACTAGGGGCGGACGCGACGGCCAGGGGGCCGGCTAAGGGTGGACGCGACGGCCAGGGGGCCGACTAGGGCGGACGCGACGGCCAGGGGGCCAGCTAGGGGCGAACGGGATGGCCAGGGGGCCGACTAGGGGCGGACGCGACGGCCAGGGGGCCAGCTAGGGGCGAACGGGATGGCCAAGGGGTCGGCTAAGGGCGAACACGACGGCCAGGGGGCCGACTAGGGGCGGACGCGACGGCCAGGGGGCCAGCTAGGGGCGAATGGGATGGCCAGGGGGTCGGCTAGGGGCGGACGCGACGGCCAGGGGGCCGACTAGGGGCGGACGCGACGGCCAGGGTGCCGACTAGGGGCGGACGCGACGGCCAGGGGGGCAGCTGAGGGCGGACGCGACGGCCAGGGGGTTGACTAGGGGCGGACGCGACGGTCAAGGGGCCGACTAGGGGCGAACGCGACGGCCAGGGGGGCGGCTAGGGGCGGACGCGACGGCCAGGGGGCCGACTAGGGGCGGACGCGACGGCCAGGGAGCCACCTAGGGGCGAACGCAACGGCCAGGGGGGCGACTAGGGGCGGACGCGACGGCCAGGGGGCCGGCTAAGGGTGGACACGACGGCCAGGGGGCCGACTAGGGGCGGACGCGACGGCCAGGGGCCCGGCTAAGGGCGGGCGAGAGACTAGGGCGCGGGCGGAAGCGGGCGGGGGGACCTAACCTACTCGATACCATGCTAGAATACGTGAATGATTACTAGAAGGAGAAACCTAGAACATATACCTGTTGGGTTGTACTCACTAGAAGCACACACCTAGTCTAGCCTATAACTTCTACATAGAACATATGTATAAGTTGACACCTGACACTGCATGCTTACTGCCAATGTGGCATGCAGATCGGGAATATCGTCCAGTATGCAATGAGATGACCAAAAGTGGGTATGTGACTCAAATGAATGTGGTGAAACAGGCACACTTGATTTCGAATTAATAAAAGCATATGCACATTCCATAACTCCTGGGTGTTTGATTTTTTTGGCCTTTAATTACACCCAGCCCAAAATTTTGCTGCATTTTTATTAACACCATAGGGTGCTTTATACGGGGGATTACGGTATTACACAGAATCAGAGTCAACCCCCCATATAGGGTTGAGGCATCAGAGTACACGAGTAAAAAAAGTCTGAAAAATCAGCGTAGGTACAAAAAGGTTCTACCATATTAGCCCGGATAGAAGACTCATGGGTCTTATCACATACCGTTAGAAAAAAGCCCAGAGTGTCTTATAAATGGGAAAAAACAACATGTATGGGGGTCTTATAAACGGAACCATCGTAACCTCACTGGAAAAAACCTGCAGTAGTTACACCAGAGGTCTGTGAACCGTTCTCATATTGAAGATGTCATTAAGGGGCCGATTTTGTTGGCGATAAGAGTTTAGGCTCAGTTGGACACGTGTGAGGGACGAGGGTGAGGGTGTGTTGGCAGGTATTCTGCAACCCTCATCAACTGGACGTCACGTTTCAACCATCCCAACCGTTTATCTGGTGTTAGCTCACACAAATCCAGCGGATACGATGGGCTGTCACATGATGCGTCAGCAAAGCGTCCTCAGCGAGGACAGATTCCTCTACGGGGAACCACAAAGTGAATTGTGGCAGTGTTGTCGGAGGTGGGTGGACCCCCTCTTCTGCTCATTTGCATCTCGCGTTCTCGAAAAATGCATCAGCCTGGTGTGCCTCTGCCTGCCGTGCCTTAGCTATCTGTGGCTTAGCGAGATGCGTAGCAAGCACCGTCCGCCATGGAGGGAGACTCATGGCGGACGGCGCCCTTCAGCAGGTATTACACCACCAAGGGTGTACGTCAACATTTTTGGTAGAGTTAACTCCCCTGGCGATACCATCAACGGTAGTGTTCGGCCTGTCTGAAAGGCCTCTGCGAGTCGTTCACCACGTCGTGATTCTCCCCTCACGACTTCTAACGACGATGCAGACGATGGGGGCACCGACGCGGACGGCTCGGCGTGCAACGCCACTGACGACGAAGACGAATGGTGGGCAAGGCCCATCGGATCCGACGATGAAGTAGAAGAATGGCACGCGGGCATCGATGCTGGCGGAGGGGATGGTGCCGCTACAAGCGACGAGAACGCCTGCGGGGTGGGCGACGATGCGGCCGACGAGAACGCATGCGGGGTGGGCGATGATGCGGCCGACAAGAACGCGTACTGGGAGGGTGACGATGCGGGCGAGTATCCGAGCGGTGAGGAAGGCAACGATGTGGACTACGACGAGGCTGACAATACTGCCGACAACACGAGCGACGAATCGTGTGACGCTGCTGACGACGACGATGACTTCGATGCAGTAGCGGCGTCGGCGGGGCGATGTCGTGGCGGGGCAAAGCTGCGGAGCTCGAAGTGGATGGCTGACAAGATGGAACGCGTCGAGTGCAATGCCACTAACGACAACTCGACCGATGAGGCGGGCGGCATGTCCGATGAGGACATGCCGATCCAGAAACGTCGTGTTCTCTTCGAGGTGCACGGTCGCAAGCGCCAGCTGGACGATGCTGACAACGACGAACACGGAGGAACAAAGCGAAAGAAACCGACCAAACAGTCCCCAGCAAAGCGTGGACGGCTGTCGAGGGAGGAGAAAGGGAAAGCAAAATCCCGGGAAGAGCACGGCATCGGCAAACGCAAGCGAGCCACCGGCAACGACACGCAAAAGTCCGCCAAGCGGAACACCAGCCATCCAGAAGGCGATATGGCCGAGGAGAACTCCGACGACGCCTACGCGGAAGCGGCTGGTCCCATCCCCGTGTTCCCCGAAGGCAAGAAGCCCAGTGATCCAAGGACCAAGAACCCCGACGCGCAACCACCCTCGCCGCGTAGTAAAGCCGACAAGAAGCAGCGACGCAGCTTCACGGTCGGCGAGAAGGCGCGGTGGGCGCTGCGGTATCACGAGCTGTGGTCACTCATGCGGACGGCACAAGAAGCGGGCGTCGGACAGTGCTCCATCCGCCGCTGGGTGGAGGCAGATATGAAGGGAAAGTACAAGGGGGCTGCGAAGTGCAGGAAGAGGCTGCATGGTTCTGGCCGACACGCGCATCACCCCGAGATGGAGGAGGCGCTCGCCAAGTATGTCTGCGAGCAACGGAGTCGGGGCCTGGTGGTCAGCGTCAATGACATTCGGGAATGGAGCCGAAAGTACATGCGCAGACGCGACCCATGTACCAGGTGGCAGGGGTCGAACCGATGGAGCCAACGGTTTCGCAAGCGGTGGGGATTCACACTACGCTGCCGAACGAAGGTTGGGCAGAAGCTCTCTCCAGGTAAGCTTCTTGTGTCCTGTGGGTAAGTGTATACCTCTGTATCTGCGTCTGTCTCTGTGCTGAGCCTTTGTTCTCTGAATCTGTCTGTTGTGCAAAGCTTCTGTTCACTGTCTCTGCATTCGTCTCTTGTGCAGAGACGTGCCTCTATCTTGTGTCTATGCGCTTGCTAAGGCCCCTTCGCCCCTGCCCCTTCCCGCCCACCACAGAATGCGCCGCGGACTGTGAGGGGTTTTGGAAGTTCGTTCGCATCAACCGTGCCCGTCATCAGATGGACTTACGCCGCATCATCAATGCCGATCAAACTCCTCTTTTCGTGGAGATGCCAGCTGGCCGGACGTTGGAGCAGAAGGGGTCCCGTTCGGTGTCGGTGAAGACTGCTGGATACGAGAAGCAACGCTTGACCGTGATGCTAGCATGCACGGCCAGCGGCGACAAGCTCCGGCCGTGGGTATGGTTCAAGCGCAAGACCATACCCAAATGTGAATGTCCCTCGGGTAAGCCTTCCACGTCTTGCTCTCCATGCACTCCTGAACCCTCCTATGCTGTGAGCGTATGACCTGTTGTTTGACTCACATAAATCCGACTTGTGCGTGCGTTCTGTAGGGGTCGAATTGCAGGCGCAGGAGAACGGCTGGATGGATGAGGCAGCCGTCAAGAAGTGGCTGGAGAAAGAGGTTCTCCCCTTTCTCAACCCAAAGCGTGGGGTGCCAGCACGACGTGCCATGCTTGGGCTAGACTCGTACCGTGGCCATCTCACCGATGGGATGAAGCACGCGTACAGGACGCATTGCATCATCCCTGCCATCATTCCGGCTGGGTGCACTCTGCTGATTCAACCCCTTGATGTTTCCATCAACAGGTGTTTTAAAGCGGGGGTGAGGGCATGCTATGCAAAGTGGTTTGCAAAGCACGGCATCAACCTACGCACGGCCAAAGGTACGCCAGCTAATCTGATTTCTCCCCGCCCGCATCCCTGAATGCACGCCGCCTGTGACCTTGAATGCACCTTGCCCGCATTTCTGGCTTCTTCCCTGATTTTCTCGCTCGAATCACTTGCCTGTCAAATCCGTGACTGATGCCTGTGCTAGTGCTCCATGAAATCCCTACTCCAGGAAACCTGCGCCGCCCGCCCCACCCCGTGGTACTGAAGTGGATTGACCAAGCATGGCGTGATGTGCCGCGTGACATCATCGTGCGAGCATTCAAGACCTGTGGCATTTCAAGCTCCATGGATGGTACAGACAACTACTTGGTGCTCCAGCACATGCGTGGGGAGCCAGCTCTCAACGTCTCTGAAGACATGTCCCTGCAAGGGACGAGTGGTGACAATGCAGGTTTCGTGGAAGAGCAGGAGGCAGAGGAGGGGGAGGCGGGAGAGGAGGGAGAGGAGGGAGAGGAGGGAGAGGAGGGAGAGGAGGAGGAGGAGGGGGGTGAAGCGCCAGAGCCAGGAGAGGAGGATCCGTACCCAGAGACTAAGAAGTGCAGTGGCGCAGCAGCAGAAGCTGAGAAGCTGACAGAGCATGAGAGCACTGCGAGGCATGCCTGGGGGGTGCTAGATTACATCAAGCACCCCCCAGGAGGACCAGTAGATGAGGAGGAGGAGGGCTGTGATTTTAGTACTATGGAGACCCATGAGGATTTCTAAGAGACTACTCTTGTCCTATCTGCATTGATGACTGAATGCATAGAATTTTGCCATACTAGAATAACATCTTAAAAAGGGGGGGGTGGGGGGGGGGGGTCTTATCTCATACCGCCAAGTGAGGGTCTTATAAACGGAATGCCATAATACAAGATAGACGCCTACTATAAGACCCAGGGTCTTCTATTACTAGGGGGTCTTCTATCCGGGCTAATACGGTATGAAAAATCAGGGCAAGGTACAAAAAAAAGTCTTTGCAATCAGAGTACACCCCCAAAAAAACTCTGAAAAAAGTCTGAGAGCGTGTTCCTACGAGCCTCTTCCCAGGCAACCGCTTCCCAGACTCACGCGCGACCTTGAGAGCGTGTTCCCAGGACCACTTTTCGGAATACTCTCGTTTCATATTTCAGTTCCATCGCTCTCAACCACATAAAACCAGCTGGCGCTGAAAATTTACTGTGCCGATTCGTGCTGTTTGAAAATCTGCTTGGCTGAAAAGAGGTTTTGAAACACGCCCCTGAATCTCGGGAAGCCGAATCTCACTTCGCACTTCGCGGAATCGCACTGAAACATTTCGCGTCAAAATTTGCGACACTGTAGCACACGAGTCTAGGAAGAGGTTGCTAGGGAAGAGGCTGGTTATGAACCTCGAGAAAACGTACGTCTTTTCAGCTGGAGCTTGGATGGTTGAAATCGCCATGAAACGCTGAGTCTAATGCATATCTTAAAAATTATGTCCTCAAATATAACATCAGGGTGCTATAGCCTTGTTGGAAATATCTCAAAGGACTTAAGCGTTTCTGAAGTATAACACTGTACTCGAGGAAGATTACAGGGGAGCACGCGAATCAACGGAGGTTGCACGAGGGGGCGGACAAAGAATGCGAAAAGACTCGAAAGGTCGCAACTGGAGGTTACGACTGACCGTTACAACATCACGGATGGTAACCGAAGCGGCAATCGAGTCGCTGTGCGACTCGATAAACCGTTCCTGTAACTGTATTCTACAACTGCTTTCTTATCTTCTATATATTGCTGTATGCTTGTTTCTTTAATCAATCACTTGTTCTCACATACTAGTACAAGGGTTCAACCGTCTCAACTTCCGCTGCACTACTCAAAGTCTCAAGTCTCCACAGCTGGGACTTAGTCTCTGAAAAGATCCTAAGGGCTTTTTCTCATGAGGCTGCCCACCACACTGTGGCCAGACGCGATAACACATGCAGTTCACCTGCACAACCTGCTGTCCTCGTCATCGCTTCCCAACAACGCATCACCGCACCTGTTGTGGACAAGAAAAAGGGGCAGCACAAAATTACTCCGAGTTTTCGGCTGCATGGTACAGTACAGACCCCACATTGCCCGAGCAGGACGCTTCACACAACGAGCTCGGTGGGGACTACACCTCGGCATCGCCAAACATTTTCACGCCTGGAAAATTCTCGGCATACAAGACAAAAATACCGTGGCATCACGTGATGTTATCTTCTACGAGCGACTGACGCTGCAGCATTACCTGGACAACATTGCCAACACACAAGACCCCACCGACGGCTTCTCCGGACGTCGTTCCTTCGCCGACCGTGCTGCCGAAGCTGACGCGGCAGAAGAAGACGTACCTGAAGCCTCGGAAGCTGCCGGACCACTCCCATTCTGTTCCGTACCTGTTCCACTCGACGAAGACAATCCTCTCGATAGCAACAACCTCGACACCTTTTACCACTTCGCTGACCAAGGTTACATTACACCCCACCCAGTCGACACAAATGTTTCAGAACGCATCGGTCCCAACTTCTTACCTGACCCAGAAGACGGTGACGAAGCAGCTTATTCCGGGAATGAAAATTCCCCTCGACACACACCCACAGGACTGCAGATTCTAGGCCTCTGGGTCTCCGTCCAGCATCCGCCGCCGCCTTCTCCGCAAGAGCCTTCGACCCTGTCGCAGGCTCTGGGGGGGAATATAAGGCGAAATGGAAGGAAGCGATGGAAAAGGAGTTAAAGGCTCTGCAAGACCGGAAAACATGGAAACTGGTACCTGCAACAAGCATCAACGGGAAAAACGTCCTCTCGGGGAAATGGGTGTACCGCATTAAGACCAACTCAGACGGCTCCATCGAACGATTCAAAGCTCGATGGGTCGTACGAGGCTTCGATCAACGATACGGGACCGACTACACAGAAACCTTCGCTCCAGTCTCCCGTCACACCTCATTACGCATCCTACTCGCCGTCGCGGCCACAAAGACATTACCACTACGCCAAATCGACGTCGTGAATGCGTTCCTATACGCACCTGTGGACGCCGAGATTTTCGTCGAACAACCCCACGGATTCATCGACGACCCCACGAAAGTATGCCAACTGACAAAATCCCTATACGGGATCAAGCAAGCCCCGCGGCTCTGGCAGCAGCATCTCCACGGCCGTCTCGCAAAAATCGGATTCCTACAGCTGCCGCATGACCAAGGAATGTACCGACTGCAGAAGGGAAGAGAGTATATCCTACTCATCGTCTACGTCGACGACCTGCTCTACATCGGCTCCACTACCGACATCGCCACCTGGTTCGAACGGGAGCTGAAAGAAGACTTAACACTCACGGTGTCCGACGAAGTGACCCAGTACCTAGGACTGAATGTCGACGAAAACGACGCGGCGTTCTACCTACACGCTGGAAAGTACTCAGGCACCGTCGCGAAGAAATTTGGTTTAACACCGACTACTGTCCCAACCCCCTACCACTACGGGAACAACAACAGCACCTCCGCAAAACTCCCCGCGAAGCAAATCCAGGAGTATCAACAGAAGCTCGGCTGCCTACTATTCGCAGCAGTAACCTGCCGACTCGACCTGTCCTATAGTGTGAGTCAACTGGCGACGCATCTGAAGCAACCAGAACAGGAAGATCTTGAGGAGCTCAACCGGGCACTACTCTACTTCGTCTCCACGCCGACGATCGGGCTTACCTACAGCAAAGCGACAACACCGTCCGTACGACTACTCGGATACGTCGACGCCGACCACGCGGGAGATAGGGAAAATCGACGATCTAGGACGGGCTACATCTACCGACTAGAGCCCATCGGAACTATCTCCTGGCAGTCGAGCAAGCAGGAGTTAATCGCACTATCCTCGGCTGAAGCAGAGTATATCGCCCTTTGTACTGCGACCAAGGAAGGACTCTACCTGCGGGAGTTACTCGAGGAAGCGAAGATCGCAACCCTGCCCGCCTTCTCACTCCTCTGCGACAACCAATCTGCGATCAAAATCGCGAACAAGGACGGCTTCGCCAACCGAACCAAGCACATCGCCCTGCGGTACGTCTTCGTCAAGGATGAAATCGCGAAGGGGAGACTTCAACTCAGTTACTGCCCGACGACAGAAATGGCCGCAGATTATCTGACGAAGAAATTGGCGAAAGCAAAATTCGACTACTGCATGCTCCTGACCGGGCAAACAAACGTCACCGGATCTGAACACGCCAGCACTCCAGAAACGAAGGGGAGTGTTGGAAATATCGCAAAGGACTTAAGCGTTTCTGAAGTATAACACTGTACTCGAGGAAGATTACAGGGGAGCACGCGAGTGAACGGAGGTTGCACGAGGGGGCGGACAAAGAATGCGAAAAGACTCGAAAGGTCGCAACTGGAGGTTATGACTGACCGTTACAACATCACGGATGGTAACCGAAGCGGCAATCGAGTCGCTGTGCGACTCGATAAACCGTTCCTGTAACTGTATTCTACAACTGCTTTCTTATCTTCTATATATTGCTGTATGCTTGTTTCTTTAATCAATCACTTGTTCTCACATACTAGTACAAGGGTTCAACCGTCTCAACTTCCGCTGCACTACTCAAAGTCTCAAGTCTCCACAGCTGGGACTTAGTCTCTGAAAAGATCCTAAGGGCTTTTTCTCAGCCCAATAAGCCTAAACGCAAAATAGAGCACCCACCCTTCTGATTTCGCATGAATTTTGTATTATACCCGGGGTGTTATATCCGGGGGATTACGGTACTAGTCTACCATTCCAGCAAAGACCCTTGGTTGAGTCTTGAAGTATCGCAAGGCTGTAACACTCTTGTGTTACAACTTGTTAATACTGGCTGTTACTGGTGGTACCCCATGTATTATTTTCTACTTGTGTCTGCTCTGCAGATTCTATACTTAGTCTCCTGCACCGCTTGTCAAATTCTTTCAATCGTAAAGGACCTAGTCACCAGACAGATTGGAGACCCAGGAATATTTGCCAGCCAACCAAAAAGCCCCTGCAAACCACTGAAATCACCAATGCACCAGTGCAAATGACACTCCAAACCAAACGCAAATCAGAGCCCATACACCAGGTCAACCACCCTCTGCCACACAGACTGATTAGCAGATGCAATAGGAGCCGCACCAGCATGCCCATCCATACTTGGCTGATAGCGGCCCCTTGCGGGAACAGGTGTGGCAGAAAACACACCACTGCTTCCCTGCCAGGCAGAGACAGCAGGCGCAGCTGCAGGAGCAACCCCAGAAGGGTTGGCACCAGACGCAGCAGAAGCATGGTGAACAGCTGAAGGCGGTTGGGTGGAGACCGCACCAAACCCCGCTTGAAATGTGCTTGAGCGGGGCTGAGAGGGAGCTCCGAAAGCAGTCTCAGGAGGCCGGGTGGAAAAGAGGACGGTGGAAGAGGTGGCAGGGGGAGGGGCGCGTGCTGATGTGGGAGAGCTTGTACTGGATGGATGGGGGGGGCGTGGTTGGAAGGAGGCAGACACATGCATTGGGAGGAGTTAGCAAGGTGCAACAGAGTGCAGATGACAAGCATAGAGGAGATTGGGCAAGAGAATCCACGTACTACTTTAAAACGTTATGCTGCAGCTTGGTTTACAGGCCCCATGCTCCGTATTCGCATGCACCATCCCTAATGCCGTCCCCCTTCTCCTCTGCATATCCAACTCAAATCCTACTGCATAAGTCACTCCATTACCAACACCTACGAGAAGCCATCTTGCAGATGATAAGGCAGGTGATACCCTGGAGCGCGTCTCACCTGTTGAAGGGGGGGTCCTGCATGGGCTTCACGCCAAAAATGGTGCCTGCAGACAGCTGTTGCCCCGACCGCCCCAGCGCCCTCTGTGCCTCCGCTGCTGTCTGACAACGGTGTCAAGAGAGAGAGGGCGGAGCGAGAGGGGGGAAGGGGGGGAGGAGAGGGGACAGGGCAAAGAGGAGGTCATGTTGGGGAAGAGATGGGGGTTGAGAGGTGGGAAGAGATGCGAATCAGAGCGAAGTAGAGCTAGAGATAGAGATGGAAAGTGTAGGAACGTGAGGACGCACTTAGGGCAACCTAAGCTCTGATGCACATATGCACGCTCCAATACTCCCCCTCGAATCACCCCAACAGCCCCCTCAACAGCCCCCTCAACAGCCCCCTCAACAGCCCCCTCAACAGCCCCCTCAACAGCCCCCTCAAAACCCCCTCAACAGCCCCCTCAACATCCCCCCACCAACCCCTCCCAACAGTGAGCTCCCACGTCTCCCCTCCCCCTAGGTGACCTGGTATCTGAGGTGCACCCAGTTGCCACGGCCCCGGCATGGCACGTGCTCCACCACTCGGCCGCACCCCTCCATCTCACGCATCACCCCTGGCAGCTCCTCGGGCAGGAACCTGGTGGGAGGGGGGGAGGGCGAGAGGAAGGGAGAGGGGGAGAGATGGAGGGGGAGAGGGAGACAAAGAGATCTGGGGATGGGAGACATGTTTGGCAGTTCTGTAGCCCGAATTGGAGCTCTTATTGGTGGTACTTTCGTAGCTGTAGCATTTATTCAGGTTCTATCTAGAACGAAGGACCACTAGAGAGAGAGGGGGAGAGGAGGGGCAGAAGGAGAGAAAGAGAGAAAAAGAGGGAGAGGGGCGACAGAGTGGCTCGCCTGGTATTAAAATGGGGGGGAAGGGCTGACGGGAAGCGGTCGTCCATAGCCTAGCAGAAGCATACTTTATCCACAGCACTGTGTCAACCAGGACGCCCGCATTCACCAAAAACCAGACATTCTGTACGCACCCGTACACGGTGACCCACGTTCCGCCAGCCTTGGTGATATCTGCGCCCCTCTGCGCGTCTTGCGCCGCCACGCCCTTCCCGCTCTGCTCCTGCCCCTTGCTCCACGCGCTCGTCCCCGCCTGCTTCTGCGCCGCCTGCAGCGCCTGCCCCTGCGCCACTCCCCTACCCTGCTCCCCTCTCCCCCATCCTTGTTCCGCCTGCAAGCCTTGCGCACTCCCCCCACCTCCTGCGAAACCGTCCGCCACCCCCGTCCCGTTAACATGAAACCACTGCTGCCGCTGCTGCTGCAGCTCGGGGGAACCAAACCTCCCCGAAATGGGAGTATGCGCGTTATAAGACGGCCCCGCCAACCCGTTCATAACCTGCGGAGGCCCGCTATGACCTTCATAAAACCCTGTACCTCCTCCACCGGGGCTTCCTGTAGCGGGGGTTTTAAGTGGACCGGGGGTGCTCAGCGGAACAGGTCGCAGCGGAGTAGCGGCGGGGGCGGCGGAGGGGGACTGGTGAAACTGGTCCGCCAGGGTGAGGAACGGCGGGGGCGGAGGTTCGGAGGGCGAGCCTGCGCCGGAGGAAGTCCGCCAGAGCGCGGCAGCGGCGGCGGCGGCGGCTGCGGTGCTTTGCGCGGGGGACCCGCGCGCGATTGCGATGGGGCTCCCCCTACTCCCCCCCCCCGGCGTAGCGAGCAAGTCGTGGTACAGGAGCGAGGCGGAGGGCGGAGGCGCGCGGCGGAAGTCCGGGAGGGGATTGGCGGAGGGGAAGTGCGAGAAGGTGGGGGAGCGGGACGAGAAACCCCGGTCTGTGTAGCCGCTACCACCAGGTGTGGCGGTGGGAGGCGGGCCGAACAGGCCTGTTGCGCTGGGAGCTCCGTACTGGCCGTAAACTGGTGGGGAAAAGAGGGGAATAATGGGGGTTATTACATGCTCAGAGGCACTATTCGCCGTGCAGCCGAATTCGCGGCGTGATCCGCAGTAGTCAGCACTGAACCAAACCTCGTTGAGTAACCGAGAAGCCGAAGCAGGATACGGAAGGAATTAGTCAAGAACGGAAGACGGTGAGGCGAAAGCTTAACACCAAGTGATAAGTCAGCCCATGCGCATAGAGGATCTACCTCGCGAGTACGGCGATCGGGCCGAGGGGTCGTCCGGCGGGAAGGAGACCGGGATCGCAGGCGATCTGTTGTACGGCGACCCGGCGTGAGCCCCCGTGGCGGTGGATCGGCCGAAGAGCCGCGAAGAGTAGGGATCCGGTGGGGACGCTGACACCGGCGTTGATGGATCCGGGAAGAATAACGACCCGCCCACCATGGCTGCTGCGAGCACGGAACGAGAGAATATGGATTTTGCGATTTCCAAAAGAGACGAGAGAAGGAGAACGAGTGAGAGCGTGGAGGGAGATTCTATCTATACGAAATCGGAATGACGAAATTGTGAGTGAGTGTAAATTCGCATCACGACCCAGCGGCAGCACCAGAAGCCGTACAAACAAGGTTATCGCCCAGGATCGCACCAGGTTAGCACTAGCTCACCCGGTATTCAAGCGCTCAGGCGGTCGGGAGAGGGAGGATGGAGGATGGAATCGGTTCGGGAGCTTGTCGTTCGGATAGGATGGAGGATGAAGGTGAAGTCACGGGCTGTGGGAATGGCTCAGCAAGATCGAGGTGGGATGATGTGAAGCAGCAGCTCAAACAGACAGCCACAGAATGGCCTGGGGCTTGGACCACTGAAGCGGGGACGGGATTTTGGACAACTTCGGCCTCGCGTTGGTGCTGCTGGCTGCTGCTGCGCTGAGTTCGTTCCCGCTACTGGCTCTGACATTTTGGGTTGAAATTCCTGCCATTCTGCACTGTGTCAGGAGGGAGAATCACCAGAACGTGACATCTTAGGGCGTGTAACAAGTGCAAGGAAAACGACGTCACCCGACGTTTGACATAACGAAATTCTCGCCAGTTGCCCGTTTGGTAAACTGAAAGTCTACCAAAATGTAACGGTCACGATCGTTTGCGATCGTTTCGACATATATCAATCATTCGATGTTATGTTGTGATTAACGTCCAAGATTTCCCCACCGGGACGCTGCAAGGGCGCGAAATTTCTCCCACCGTCCTATTCCCCAGCTTCCCCCCTCCCTGCCGTTTCGATTCCCCCCCCTCCCCTCTGTTTCAATCACTTCCCCCTTCCTCTCTGTTTCGCTTCCCCCATCCTCTCCGTTTCGACCGCCCCCCCCTTTCCCCCCCCTCCCCTTCGTTTCGCTTCCCCCCTCCCCTCCATTTTGATTCCCTCCCCATTTCCCCGTCAGTTTCGATTCCCCCTCTCCTCAGTTTCGTTTTCCGTGGCAGTGCGATTTAACCCTCTCGGTTTTTAGGAATGACTTCCCCGTTTCCCACATTTAACAACTACGCAAAACGAGGGTATAACAAGGTTGCTGGTTGGGGGGGAACGCGGGCTGTGGGAGGATTTTTTATGGCTGCAAGGGACTTAGCCGAATTTTTGGGAGGTGTAGGAGGGAGGGAAGTTTCTCGCTGTGGGGGTGTTTCCCGTGTGTGACTCTGGTTGTACGTCCTGGACCCTGAAAAAATCAGACTCGCTGAGTTCTGGACCCTAACATTTCAGACTACAAAAATTTCGGTTGAAGGCCCTTCAGACTATTTTTTTTTTTGGGGGGGTTGGCTCAGAGTGCCTTTTTTTGAAACGTCAGCCCTGCTCATCACATCACCCTTACTACTCTTAGCCAACAAAAGAAAACCATCATCCCCACCCTTATGGTTCTATGATGATCACCCCTAAAACTACATTTGCAGCCATAAACAGCACCATTTCCATTGGCAAACTCTTCTAAGATTCTTCTATATATTCACTCAAATTACCCACGGGACGCCTTGCAAAGGAGCATCCTCTCGCAAAGTAGCGAATTAACTAGAACAAGGCAGTACAAGGAACATATAGGGTTGGAGTTGTACCCTCTAAGAACACAAACCCATCTAGCCTATAACTTCTACGTATAAGCATATGTATAAGTTGACACATCCCCTAGGCTAGATAAGGGGCAGTGCCTAACAAGAGACACACAGCTCAGGACGGCACTATGTGTCCAACCTCTGAGGCAGGGGTCCGAATGTTAGAATACGTGAATGATTACTAGAAGGAGAAACCTAGAACATATACCTGTTGGGTTGTACTCATTAGAAGCACGCACATAATCTAGCCTATAACTTCTACATAGAACATATGTATAAGTTGACACACTCCCTAGGCTAGATAAGGGGTGGTGCTAAGCAAGAAGCACACAGCTCAGGGTGGCACTACTAGTCCAACCACAGAGACGGGGATCCGGAGACCAGTCAGCAAGAGTACAAACAAGACTACAACAAGCCAGGGCGGCACTACTAGTCCAGCCACTGGAGGTAAGACCACAAGGCCAGTCAGACAGGTATATATAGTAGAGAGTACACAATCATGGCCCTAGCAAATGAGAAGTTACAGGAACAAGACCAAGCTGTACACAGTGCCGCTGATGATCTTTAGGCGCAAGCGCCTTACTAAAGATATCAGCTGTGTTGGCACCGGAGGCCAAGTGAACTACCCGGGCCTGGCGACACCGCTGTAACTCGCGCAGGAGGAAGTACCGCAGATGGATATGCTTCGCTCTGCCCTCAAGCCGAGGTTTCTCACACAGGAGGATCATGGCCCTGTTGTCAGCATACAGGACCGGAGCAGAGCTAGGCCGCTCACCTAAGTCAATGAGCAAGAAGGTCAGCCAGCGGAGCTCCTGTGCCGCCATGGCACCAGCGTAGATCTCAGCCTCACAGCTGGACTGAGCAACAGACGACGAGCGAGTGGATCTCCAAGAGATAGCACCCGAACCAAGGCTAAAACAGTAGCCCTGAGACGACCTGAGAGTCTCAGAGTCGTCTGCCCAAGAAGCGTCTCTGTGCCCAGTGAGAACCACCGGCCTGCGTCCTCCTAGCACTAACCCCATGCCCGATGTACTTGCTAGATATCGCAAAACCCTCTTAGCAGCCGACCAGTGCTGTGGCCGGTGTCTGCCAGTGGCCATAAAGCGAGCCAAGATGCTGAGAGGGTATGTAAGATCTAGGCGAGTGCAAGTCATCAGGTACATGAGGCAACCCACCAGCTCAGCGTAGGGTCCACTAGGCTCTACTGGCTCCGCAGGAACTGGAGCAGAGAGCCCATGGTCTACAGGTAGAGGTGTGGGCTGTGCGGAGGAGAACTGAAGATCGAACCTCTGAAGGACCTGACGCACCAAGTGTGACTGTGTCAGAGTGATGGTGCGTGCTGCTCTGTCCCTGGAGATCTGCAGGCCAAGATAGCGACGCAGCTCTCCAAGGTCAGTGCAGGTGTGTCTCTTCAGCAGCTCGGCCTTCACAAAGGCCAGTGCATCCCTGTCAGCAGTAGCAAAGACCACGTCGTCTACGTAGACAAGGATGTAGAACGGAGTCTGGCCGGAACGCACAAACAGTGAGGGGTCAGCAGAGAACGGAAAGAACTGCAGGTCTGCTAACGTGGCATGCAGCGTGTCGTGCCACTCGCGAGGAGCCTGACGCAGGCCGTAGACCGGGCACCGGAGAAGCCGCTGGGTCCCAGGGGGGAAGGTACCAGTGAAGCCCTGAGGTCGACGCAGGTAGACCTGCTCGTGTGGGCTGCCCTGAAGAAAGGCAGTAGAGAAGTCGAGGGAGTGAAGCTCGTAGTCGTGCCGTGCTGCTACGTATAGCAACGCCCGAAGAGTGGTCATCTTTAGGGTCGGGGCGAAGGTCTGGAAGAAGTCAACCCCCTCGCGCTGGCTGAAGCCTCTGGCCACGTAGCGCGCCTTGAAGACAGGCAGCTCTCCAGGGGGGCGCTTCACATTGAAGAGCCACCGACCATCGACTACGTTCACCCCAGGCGGGGGAACTGCGTCGACGTAAGTGCCGGTGGACCTCCAAGATGCCATCTCCTGCTCCATGGCAGCTATCCACTGAGAGGCCCAGGGTCCCGAGGTGGCCTCAGCATAGGTGCGAGGGGTTGGGGTGTCGAAGGCGTCTGGATCACCCTCAGGGACGAGGAGCATGGAGCAGAGATGGGGAGCGGCCTCGGAAAGGAAAGCAAGCTCGTACTGCCTGTCCTCTAGTACGTCACTGCCAAGGGCAGGTGCACCCTCGACGGGCGCAGGACGGGCAGGGTCAAAGACCAGAGCGGTAGCGTAGTCAAGGCGGGGGGTAGAGGCAAAGTCAGCGACAGCAGCAACAAGCGCGTCAAGGCGTGAGACAGGAACAGACGGGACTGTAACAAGAGAGGCAAGGACCCGAGGGACAAGGGGACTAACGGCACGGAGGTAGACAGACAGCGGGGGAGGTGCAACAACGAGCGACGAGGGAGGAGGCGAGGGGAGGAGGGGAGGACGAGACGAGTGAGAACGGAGTAACATAGGATGGGAGCGCGGGACAGGGGAGACGGGACGAGCACGGGAGGGACGGTGAGACCAAACGTGGGACGGAGGTGTAGGGTCAGGAGACAACGGAGGTGACACAAGGGGGGAACGAGGAGGAAGACGGGCCGGAGAAGAGTCCGGGGGTGGGAACACAGGGCCGTAGGCAGGAAAGTGAGGAGGAGGTGGGGGAGACACCGGCGAGCGGTCAGGGGAGGGAAGGCCGAGCAGGCGAAGAGCGGAGACCGGCGGCGACGATTGCGGCGGCTGCTGCGGCGGCTGGTGCTCGACCCTCGAACCGGCAGGGGCACGACGACCTCCGGGAGAACACTCAACAGCAGCACCCCCAGAGCCAACACCCCCAGAGCGAGAACCCTCTCCAGCCCCAGCGGCACCCCCAGGCCCGCCGGGACAGACCACACTAGGAGCCGCAGGACAAACACCCTCCTCAGCCGCAGGACAGAGGCCAAGAGCGGCGGCGGCGGCTGCGACGGCGGCTGCGACGGCGGCGGCGGCGGCGGCGGCGGCGACGATGGCGGCGGCGGCGACGATGGCGGTGGCTGTGGAAGCGGGGGCGGAGACACCAGGGAAGGGGGACGCGGCAAAGGCGGGGCGGGGGGACCACCAGAGTCAGCAGACTCCTCAACCGGGACAACTGACGGGAGGGGAGTGACATGGGAGACACCAGACGGGGCAGGACACAGCAGGAGGGGAGGAGGGGCTACCGGGGGAGAGGGGGCAAGGAACAGGGGGGGGGAAATCGGGAGACCTAGGTGAGGGAAGCGACGGTAGAAGGAGACGGACTCGTCAAAAGTGACGTCACGAGAGTAGAGGAAGCGGTGAGGCTGCGGGTGGTAGAAGAGCCAATCAGACGAGTCCAGGAGGAAACCAAGGAAGACACAGGGGACAGTGCGGGCAATGAGCTTGTCCGTGCCAGAGGCACGAACGTGAGCAAGGCAGCCCCAGACATGGAACGTAGACGCATCACCGGGGAACCCGGTCCAAAGGAGGGTCGGCGAAACCAGCGGCCGCTGGGAGCTTGGCCACAGGTTAAGCTGGTGAGCGGCGTAGCGAACGGCGAACGGCCACAGAAAATGGGGTGCATCGGCATGGATCATGGAGGTACGAGCCACCTCTATGACCAAGCCGATGCGGCGCTCAGCAACCCCATTCTGCTGTGGCGAGTCCAGCAGGGTGTACGACTGGGTGATGCCCTCCGCACGACAGAACTGTCCAAGCCGACTAGAAGTGAACTCTCCGCCACGATCAGAGTGGAGAC